TTAATGGAACATACAATTCGGATATTATCAAGACGGGACCGGAATCAAAAAGGATAAAAACAAAGCATTCGAGTATTGTAAAACATAGATATGAGAGATGTAAATGGATTATTAAAAGTGAATATTGTTATTCAAATGAACATTTTCAAAAAGCTACTGATGAGGAATGATGCAAAAAGAACATATAATCTATAATCTTGGTGATTGTTATCATCACGGAATTGGGATATAAAAGGACAAGTGCAAGGTATTTAATTGCATTGAAAGCTCTAATATGGGCCTTGCTGAAGGAATAGATAGTATTGATTATCGTTATAAGGATAAGAGAAAAGCATTCCAATATTATTAGAAGGTTGCTGATATGGAATACACTTTTGTAATTTTTATGTTAGCTTTTGTTACAAAAAATAGAAATGGTGCTTTGATCAAATGACATAAGCATGAGTTTAACTAGAGGATTAAATAAGCCTAGCAATACTATTTGGGGTACAACCTAAGCTCAGTGCTCAACACTTTCGAAATGTAAGAAATATAAATTATCTTGAAAACTTTAAATAGGTTTAATCCTTTATAATTTAATGAATAGCTATAGCATTTAAATGATTCATCATTATTTGGGCGTAAGATGAAATGAAACACAAGTATAGGCATCATCATGTGTAACTTTGATGGTGTACCAATTTTAAAGGGAAAGGCAATATTTTTTAAGGTCGCAAAATTTCTTGTTCGCTATTAGTTTACAGGCTTTGACTAAGTATGATTAAAAATTTTTTTGATTTTAAACCTAGGGAGTTCCTAGAATGCCGTGGCGTACTTTATTTAATGTTTACTGCAATTATCTTTTTCACCAACATATTTCAGAATTTTAAATCGCTTTATTGATTCCATGTTTAATTACCAATTCTAATATGAGGTCCGGAATGAGATTGGCACGCTTAAATTGGATATAACAGTATCAAATTTCAAATTTCTCAATTGGATATTATTGTAAATCTCCATATAAATTATCCTAGTATGTTACATTTCACCGATTAAAAACTTATATTATACCTGGGGTCTACATTAACTGGAGGAATTCTTGTTATATAGCTTATATAGATTACCGGTAAATATACCTGGTGTTTCTTGTATTCTCAATCTTGGTATAGACCCAGGCACAGTGCAGGTGGGCCTACCATCAAATGGGGGTCTTTTATATGCCATTCGTCACTATATAGTGATCTGTTAATATCTTATTTAAGCCACCAGGCCATTTCAAACTCTGCTAACGGGACAGCTAATTCTATCGCTATTTTTCCAAGTCTTCTGACTTAATGGGCAGTTAAGCACGAAGTGTAATGATTTGAATTGTGTTAGGGAAATTTCGGCATTTTCCCAGATTAGTCGACTAAACATAGTAGTCTATTATACGGATTTTTTGTCGACTAAATCCCTATCCCAGATCTTCGAGGTTAACATATCTATTTCTGTAACCTAGTGGAAGGGCTTTGAATCATCAGATATCCTTATCGATTTTAATTGATAATGTTACTAATCATTAATTTACTATAAACGATTATTATCGATTAGTTATCGTGCAAACTCTTGACGAGGACGGGGTATTCGGAGAGAGGTACTCCACCAACCAGGCCGCCGGGACACCAGAGAAAAAGGATCTGCAATGCAGATACTAAGGGACTTATGATCATGGCTATTTTTTGTCTTGATATTTTTATGCACAATACATTACACAAGCCGATATTCGACAAATGCACAAATATTCAACTTATTAACAATTTTAAGATTTGATAAATGTAACATTATTTGCAAATTAAGCTAAGTATATAATTTATTGCAATTTTTTTTTTTTTTTTTTACAATTTAATGCGAGCAATTTCTTTTATTCATAGTGACCCGAAATTGAAAGTGCAATTATGAAAAACATTCCCGGTAAGAAATTTTTCCAATGCTTCCTTATTCATTTCACGGTTTTGGCCCCAATCTCTTTAGAAATTTAATTTTCAGTTTGCTTTAGGTTTTCCAACATATAGCTTTTGGCATCGAAAATCCCTTTAGTGTTTATTCATTTGCATGAATCTGCCATTGTACAATCTATTAATTGACTCCTATTTTAACATTTTATAGTGTGGGAACTTAACCGCATTTATGACTGAAAACCGTTTCCTGACTCATTTGCGATGGTAAGACTACATTTATTCCATGGCTAATTCCTACACTGTTTTCTAAGCAATTACATGAGGTTTTCGTTGTTCCGGCTAGTTTCCTTTAATCGGATTTCTATTAAGTGCATTTACCCGTAATGTTTCTTTTAGAATTTATTAATTTTTCAATTATTGTCTTTAGAGCAAAAATGCTATTCCTGATGGATCGGCAATACCGATCTTGATAGAGTTAAAAAAAAAATTTATTTGAGTACTGTTCCTGATAGGGCTCTAAAAACGAACCCTAATCCTAACCTTTTTCATTATATAGATAGTATTTTGGAAGCCCTTTTTTAGAACCCTATCAGGAACGGTATGTAAATCGATTTTTTCCACCCTATCAGGAACGGTATTTTTTGCGTTTTTCATAGATTTTTTTCCGTTAAAAATTTTATCCAAATAGACAGCAGGCGTATATCTATCGTATCAGGCAAAGTTGGGACACCCAAGCCTCCTTGTGATAATGGTAGCTGAAAGATAATATACTTGGGGGTATTTGGATCCATTTTCTAACATTATTAGTTGTGGCGAATTGATTCCGAGCTAGACATGCACTGTATCAGGGTCAAAATTTAAAATAAGAGTTTCTTACTTGCCTAATTTTGTATACTCATTTCTCAAATAAATACCGCTTCACTAAATTATCATTTTGCATCAGTACTTCCACATTCGGTCAATAGTTGTAGATCTTGTCAATCTTTTTAAAGATGTACACCATTACATCTTGCGTCGTCGTACAGTGCTTACCCCTGAGCTTGAGGACTTTCGGCTGCTTTGGTAATAATAATGTTTCAGGTAGGATTATTCGATATCCTAAATTCTTTTGTAACAAGGTTAAGATATTAGTTATTTCATTTGTACATAGCGATCAATATTTATGTTGAGTGTGATGTTTTTATAATAGTCAGGATGTGACGGCGATTAACCTTTTGTGAATTTATGAAATTTTCATCATGTGGCGTGAAAACGGGAAATTCCAAATGGCTTGAGATTTTCGTATTCAAGCTACGTAGGTTATACCAACCATATCCGGGCCCATCACGTTAATTTTCTTGAAGTACCTATCAACAAACCTTACGTAATGGTATCTTAACAAAACTATTTGATTGACACTCCGTTGGCTCGTTATTAAGTATTATTATGCCATTCGGAATTCTTCCCGTCGATGTATTTCGGAATTAAATATCATCTGGTTTAGTAAAGAATAGAAAGTCACGATATGATTCTTTGTAAATTATAGTGATCAATTTATAAATAAATCATTGAAATCATTGTACCGTATTTAGGTTGCACATTTACAGATATGTGCTATTGTCTATTATATAAATCATTACAATAAATCTTGAGTTGATGCCTAAAAAATATAATACAGTGCAACATTTATATAATACGATAAACATTAAAAACTCTCCTCTCTTGAAAATATTAAGTGACCTCAATATTAAGTCGTGAATAAATCATAAAAAAAAGAAGGACAAAGGGTAGTGTGTACTTATTCTGTTATTGAGGTGTTTAACACGACATATACTCAACAACTAAGATATCAGACTCAACAGAGAAAATAAACCTTGTTTTTTGGTGTCAAAAGAATGTCTACAGAATCAAAAAAACGAATAAACTATTTTTATGATCGTAAGTAGATTGTCCTTAGGGATATTTATCGTTCGAGTGAACTGAGCACGTGTGGTGTGATATTCTATGTATTTTGGGTAGCGGGTTGAGTCTAAAAAGGTTGCAAAACCCTGGTTAGACGGGTTGTGAAGGAAAAGAATCATATTAATCAAAATTCTTGTCGGGTCGTTTTGTTTTTTCTCTTTTTAGATGTCATAGGTAGTTTTAATCATGGAAGTGGCCATCCTATGAAGCCCCTGAGAGTAAGGATGACTCATAATCTGGTGATGAAATATGAATTGTATAAGAAGATGGAAATATTTGTATCCAAATTTATCTGATATAGATTTTGACTTCGACTTTGATCTAGCCTATTCTCGTTCAGTGATGGTTCATAATTGCCAAGATTTTTTCAATTCCATTTTTTCGTATAATCCTTGATTAAAACGATGCTATTGATAGAGACCAAAACCCGGAACAATTGAGGAGCTCACTCAATTTCATACCGATGATTACATTAATTTTTTAAACAGGGTTACGGCAGACAATGTTGATACTTGTATAAAAGATTGTATCAAATGTATGCTCTTTTTTTTTTTTTTTTTTTTAATACGGGTATATTAATAGTTTTTCTCATATTTCAATAGTCAATGTTGGAGATGATTGCCCGGCTTTTGACGGACTACTTGAATATTGTAGAAGAGCGACAGGTGGTTCTCTTGGTCAGTAAATATTTTTATTTTCAATCCAAAATCGAATGAGGTACCCCATAATTATCTCGGTTTAATATATTAATTTATATTATTATCGATAATTTTGTAGAAGGGGCAGCCAGAATAAACTATGGTTTATGCGATATAGCTGTAAATTGGGCTGGAGGTTTACATCACGCAAAAAAACAAGAGGCCAGCGGGTTTTGTTATGTCAACGATATTGTAATTGCAATCCTCGAATTATTGAGGTAAGGCATATATATATATCAATGTAATAAATGTAATAGAACTTTATTCCATTTTATTCGATGAAAATTGATCATTTTTATTGATAGATTCCACCAACGTGTTCTTTATATCGATATTGACATTCACCATGGTGATGGTGTTGAAGAAGCTTTCTATACAACTGACCGCGTAATGACGTTGAGTTTTCATAATTTCGGAGAATATTTTCCGGGAACGGGAGATATCAATGTATGTTTATATATTAGACATTAGGATGAATCCGATGAGCAGAGAAATGCACGGCGGTGGGTTTTCTATGGACGGTGTTCTCGGATTTCAGAGATGGTACTGCATCCTTTAATTATTCGATTAACCTGTTATCACAGGACATTGGTATAGGAAAAGGTAAATATTACGCCGTGAATTTTCCTCTAAGGGAGGGCATAGACGACGAGTCGTATAAAAGCGTATTTGAACCGGTTGGTTTTATTCTTTTATAATTTCAAAGATTATTCATTTCCTACCATTGCACACTATTTGATGCAATTATTTAATATTTTGTTAGGTAGTTACACGAGTCATTGAATGGTATCAACCTGAAGTGATCGTTTTGCAATGCGGCGCGGATTCACTAAGTGGTGATCGTCTTGGTTGCTTCAATCTGTCATCAAAAGGTAAACGAATAACGTCCACTGTCGTTAATATGTTAATTATATAGCTATCTCTCACTTCCTATCTTTTACCGTTGATTTGCAGGCCACGCACACTGTGTGCGATTTGTCAAAAAATTTAACATTCCAATGTTAGTATTGGGAGGTGGCGGTTACACTGTACGAAATGTGTCAAGGGCTTGGGCATATGAAACTGGTGTGATTGTTGGACAGGATGTTGGACCAGGTTAGGTCTTTCATTTCTGGATATTGCTAATTTTTTAGATATGATTTAACCAATTTATTTTTTATAGAATTACCTCCTCGTTCAGAGCACGATTATTTTGAATATTTTGGACATGATAATAAAATAGATGTTCTTTCAAGCAATATGGAAAATAAGAATACGAGAGAATATTTAGAAAAGATAACGTAAGCCTACAGTTATGAATTTACATCGCTTAATTTTCTTTTTTCAACATATAATTTTTTCGTTAGTGTCAAAGTATTTGAAAATTTGGATCGATCTAGGCATACGCCCAGTGTCCAATTACAAGGTTTATTATTTATCATTTTATTAAGCTCTTTATTACTAATTTGTAATTTTTTATAATCGGGATTGCTACTTTATTTACAGATATACCAGGAAAAAGCTATGAATTCGATGAACATTTGGATGATGATAATCCGGACGAACGAATTTCAAGTATACCGAATATTTAATTCTATTTACAAGATTCGTTGGCATATAATTATTAATATTTGGCTTATTTCATATAGGACGGCTAAGGGACAAACATATCGCACCGGATAATGAATATTATGATTCATCTGATGAGGAATGCACTTTTAAGATTCCTATTCCTAACGAATACGGGCCTTCCAGATATGTGCGATCATACCGCCATAAATTGATAAAAAATAGTTCAAAATGAAAAGCTAATCTGCTATATAATTAAACCACATAGATATTTACTTAATAAAATCTTTTTTAAGATTATAGGTACTTAGATTTAAATTATAAAACATATAGTTTAATTTTAATTTTTGTAATATAATATAAAATTAACTAATAAAAAATTTTTTTTAAAAAAATTCTTTTAATAATAGGTATTAAAAAATACATAGTATGTAATTTTTTATATTAAAGTTTTGTAGTTAAATATTAAATTAGGTTTAAATAATTTACAATTAAAATTTGTTTAAACTATTTAAAAAAATGTTTTAAAATTAAATATAAATTTAGAGTATTGCTAATTTTAACCGAGGGAAAAAAAATTTACCGGGGTGTATATTCCAAAAACCTATTAGCTAACTTACGTTAGGATTATTAAACAAAAATGTTTAGAATCCCCAAAAACCTTATGCTAACTAAAATTGGGACCCTAATACTGTATTTAAACTTTATTTAAAATTTTATACTAATTTTAAATGTTAATAATAATTAAAAGAAATTTTATTTTCTAGTTAAATTTCGTAATTTTTATAAATTTATTATTTAGGTTTATTAAAATATAGTATATAGTATATAGATTATAAATTAAAATTTAATATAGTTACTTTTAATATAGTTATAAATTATAAGTTTTATTAATTATTATAAAGTATAAAAATTAATCTGTTTAGATACTATATATTAATTATTATATTATATTTTAATTTTTTTGGTTAAAATTAGCCTTATTTTGGATTTTTATTAGATTATAGAATCAAGTATATTGTAATGTAACAAGTTAGACCTTTGGTTAACAAGTTACCTTACTTGACTAAGTGTACGAGTAGTTAAGAA